AGCGATAAAATAAACTCATAAAAAGAAAACACTACTAGATTTTCTACTATTACGCCTTACATTTATAACTTCAAAACAAATTCAAATTAAAACAGAAATAACATACGCTCACATGCATGAAGATTAGCGTCACAAGAGCAATAGAAGCTTATTGGTCCATTTTTGAAACCCCTCCCTCAGTGCCTACACTGATATGCACTTGTGAAATATGAGGTCGGGACACGGTTTCATTCCAATTACATGACGGATAGAGACCGTTAAGGTGGTCCTGGAGCTCTCGTCTGGGGAAGCATTATGCTGAACGGGCGGACTGAGCTTCTCATGTTTCACATAGGTTCTGTAACCGGAGATCGCTATTGTCAGGAAGTGATCCTTCCCCATGTGCGTCTGTTCCGAGGTGCAACTGGAGCAAACTTCGTTTTAATAGATGTCAATGTACGGCCACACCGGACTCCTGCTGTTCAGAAGCTACTGAAAAGTGAAGACTTCACTCGAATGGATTAGCCAGCGTATTCCCCTGATTTAAATCCCATAGAACATTCGTGGGATGCTTTAGGAAGACGCCTTGCTGCAGGATTACATCCTGGAATAGCCAACAACTGAAACAGATGCTGATTCAGGAATGGGACCCTAAAATCCGTTGGACAATCTGGCGCTGAGTATGGGGAGACGGTGCGAGTATGGGGAAGGCAAATCCCATACTAAGGAGCATGGGCTTATTGTTTTTCTACATGTACAGACAATTTTATGTAACGATGCTATAAGTTCGACAGTCTTTTTTTTTTCTTCTTGATTCTATACTATATACATTGTATTCATTTTAGGGAAACTATGCTTTCGTCATCGTTTAAATACAAAATGCTGTTCCTCATTTCTGAATATCATGTCTGTCGGATGATTTTTCCTAGAATTGTTGCAAAAAAGACACCTGTTGCTTAAGTTTTGCATTTTGCAAACCAGTGTAGTTTTTTCTCAATTAACCTGTATTACTTCTTTAGGTCTTCGTCAAATGTACACTTTCTTTTTTTGAACTTATTACTAAAACATTAATGGTAAAAACAAATAATAAATTAAATTAAATTGCAGTAAAACATACCCTTAGCATGTATCTAACGCACCGTTGTGACTACGTTGGGTAAAAATCGACGGTAAAATTTTAAAAATCCTAAAAATCTCTGCAAATCTTTTACCGTTTTAGGAAGTGGGTAGTTAAGTATCGGTTCAACTTTGTTCGTCAGAGGCTTGGTACCATCTTTATTGATTAATATGGCCTAAAAAGATATTTCCGGAACGCCTAAAAACACATTTCGAAGCGTTAATTGTCAATCCATATGAAGTTAATCTTTCAAAAACAGTACGTAGGTGAGATTTATGCTCATCTTCCGTATCACTAAATATCAAAATATCATCTAAGTAGACGTAGGCGAATTTTAGATCTCCAAGAATTTCGTTCATAAACCTTTGAAAGGTTTGAGCTGCTCCGCACAGTCCGAAATTTAAAAACGGAAATTCAAAAAGACCAAATGGGGTGCAAACTGCAGTTTTCGGTATATGATCTGGATGGACTGGTATATGATGATATGCCCGAACGATATCAATTTTTGAAAAAATTGTCTTTCCGCTAAGCGTATTATTAAAGTCTTGTAAATGCGGGATAGGGTATCTGTCGGGTTCGGTGCACGCGTTTAGTTTTCGGTAGTCTCCTACTGGCCGTATGTCGCCCGAACTTTTAGAAACTACATGAAGAGGTGATGACCATGCTGATTTTGATGGTCTACAAATACCTTGATCTATCATAAATTGAAATTCTTTTTTTACTGCTTCGTATAACTTAGGGCTTAACCTACGCGGTTTACTGTGCACAGGAGGGGACCGTTTGTTTCGATGTAATGAACCGTACTATGCTTTACTCTACCCGAATCGGATTTTAACTTCAGTACTTTCCGGAAAGTCTTTCAAGATTCTGTGATATGGTGAATCACCAGATATTAACTTTACCGAAAAATAATTTTTAGAATCGGAAAGAGAACCAATACGAGTTAATTTCGTAGTATTATCGATAAGCCTACCTCGTTTTAAATCGATTAAAAGATCAAAATGCCTTAAAAAGTCGGCTCCTATTATAGGCACTGGTACATCGGCGATTAAAAACTTCCAAGAAAAGTTTCGTCTAAGTCCTAAATTCACAGTTAACAATTTTGTTCCATACGTAGAAATTCTGGAATTATTCGCGGCAAATAATTGTAAGCGAATCAGGATGCATTTTCCTTAAACTTAGAAGTCGGTGGCACACATGAAACATCCGAGCCCGAATCGATCAAAAATTTTTAATTTAATCTGTTATCGTAAACATGTAAACGACATGAATGCGCGACTGCCGATGAGTTTCGATCGACAGCCGCTACTACTAGTTTTCCTGGGCCGTAGTATTCTGAGAAAAAGAACAAGGTGCTCGACATTTTCGTGCATTATTACCAAATCGCGAATGAAAATAACAATAATTGTTAACGCGCTCTCGAGAATGCCCACGTGAAAAACTACGTGGTCTATTATGCTGATTCCAGGGAAATTTATTCCTCGTTTTCCGCGGGAGAGTCGCTCGACCTGTTTACTTAGGGCAGAAATTTCACTCCTTAAGGCCTTAAGCTCTTCGAGGGGGCACCAGAATCGTTAGGGATCGCTGGGGGAACTCGCCGAAGCTGCCTGGACAGCGAACACGCTATTGTTCGTTGGCGTGCGCACTTCAGCTATCTTGTCAGCCATTTTTGCTAAATTATCTAAGGATTCAGAACTTATTGATAAAATGGCATGCACCTCGGAAGGTAACCTTTGCAGCCATAATGATTTTAAAAATTCGTCAGTTATACATTTTCCACCTCAATTCTCTCATTTTTCTCAATAAGTGAGATGGTTTGTCATCCCCTAAATGCAATTCAGAAATAAGTCTGCGTATTTGTTCGCTTTCCGAATCCTGAGAATTCCGCTATTAACCTAGCTTTAAGGGCATCATATTTTAGCCGTCGCTGGGGGATTAAATAAAATATCTGATACTGCGGAAAGAGTTTCAGGGTCTATGGAAGAAATCACGTGGTGTATTTTGTAATATCGTTACTAATCTTCGCTAAGAGCAAAGTTACTTTCAACTTGAATAAACCAAAGTTTAACATTATTTTTCCATAAAGGGGGAATTTTAACTGCCACGTGTGAGATTTGTGGCTCCTGTGAACCACCATATTCGATTCGTCGTTGGTTTGGCCTTCCGATCCTGGCATGGTTGCCAATTATAAATATATCGTAAATCGTTAACTTAATGTTTTGCACTATACCTTATCAAAACAGTATCAATTTAGAATAAAATAATGAAGACATTCAATATCTCAATAAAAGTGTGAGCACCAATATTACCAAAGATCAATTTTAAACAATGAATAATTAATTAAATTAAAACTATAATTTTAGAGCAAAACATATCACAAAACATACATTAAGACCAATCACAGATAAGGGAAAAAAATTTGACCCACATACCTGTAAATCCTCCTTAACAGTGTGACAAACCACGCGTAATCCGTACCATAAAATGAGAAAGAAATTAAGAAAAATAAATAGGATAGAGCAGTTATTACTCAGAAAAAAGAGCATTCCCATCAAAATAAGGCATATATTTAGCTTTATAAGAAAGATTAAGACAGATAGCCCTTAGGAATCTGAAATAGAAGGAGCGAGAGACAAGGTCACCAGTGAGGTACGCGCGAGTAACGCGTGCCTACAAAAGTATAGATAACCTTACCTAGAAAAATAGCAATCTTAATTGAGATAGGCATTTAACATTAAGAATGAGATTTAATAAGGAGAAGTAATATAGATACATAATAATGGCTTAAGGAAGCGTACAGTCCCACCACAGATCGGCGTCACATATCACGTGGAAGGCACAAGATGAGTTGTTTCACAGACACGCACACACACAGACTGAAGTCGTTACCCAGAACTGCTGGAGAAAATTCTTCTCTTCCCGTCAGCCCGTAGGGTTGTCAAGCAGATTTACTGTTTCGCTAATTGGCTCTCTTCTCCAGAGTTTTTGAGTCTGTATCGCCTGTTTAGCGCTGCCGCTACAAGGGGTTCTCAACCAGTGGTACGTGGACGACTGGTGGTACGCAAGAGAACAATAAGCGGTACGCAAAGAAAACGTATTTTTAACTATTAAATTCAAAAATCTTGTGAAGAAAAAGAAAAATTGAGAGAAATTTCCTCGAACTGAAGATTTTAAAAATAATACACTTGTTAACTTTTATATCTGAACTGAAAAATAACTTTAAAGGCATTTCAAATAAAGCTATAAAATTTTTATTGCCTTTTTGCACAACCTATTTGTGTGAACAAGGATTTTCTTCCATGTTATATTTAAAAATTAAATGCGGAACAAAATTAAAAGTGGATACTAATTTCTTCTTAAAACTAAGTGAAATAAGACCAGACACAAAGAAATTTGTCTCTCTTAAACAGACCGAAATTTCCTACTAAATTTTGGAATTAAAGTATTATAACTTAGATTATGAGAATAAAAAGGGTAACCCATTTTTAATCTAATATATTTTTATGTATGCATATTTAATACAAATAGCCAATAGGTTGTGCAAATGGCAAAATATATTTATTTTTAATATTTCTATTGAGAAACTGAAAAATAATCATTGTATAATCTAGCGGTGGTACTTAAGTTTTTCAGTTTTTATTTAGATGGTACGCGTTAGTCGAAAGGTTGAGAACCGCTGATTTAAATGATTTGCTATTTAGATTTTGCGCTGAAATTATTCCACATTTTTTCAATATGTTTTCCATACATTGGCAGTTTATTTGAATTATAAAAATGTATCAACTTCTGCTGTTAGATATATCTACATACGGAAGCTGAAATTAATCAAATGAAAACACTTTATAACGAAAAGATAAATGCAAATGGAGTTTTATTTGCATTAATACCGCATTTTTATTTTCAGTTCTCTTGGAGAAAGATTCGAAAGAAAAAGAACCACACCACATTTTTATGCTGAAAAAAATGTACAAGTCTTGCATGGATTCCGGTAAGTTTTATTGCTAATTTATCATTTCACATTTTAAATCCATGTAAATTACGATGAAAAAGCAAAAGAGATTCCCACTTCGCGTTTATTAATATAAAGGCCTAATTGACCTCCAAAAAATATGAAGCAACTTCGTAAATTAAATAAAACTTAAGACATGAAGCATTATTAATAATTTGTATTATTTTCTAAACAAAATTTGGATAGATTTGTATCATCTAGTTTTTATTCAATATAAATTGATGATTTACGGATGATTCCTAAATCATCATTTTATATTGAATAAAATCTAAATGATTCAAATCCATCACTAGCTTACATATTTAACAACGTCAGTGGTTGTTAGCAAAAATCAACCTACGATTCAGTAGATATATAATACGGTTTGGTTTATTAGATTACGGCAAAGCACTCGAGGGCTATCTGCCTTAAGGGAGGGATGCCTTCGTGGAGGTCTTTTTAAAGTAAACTACCTTGTACACACGTTACACATGGGGGGGAAACCACGAAAACACCCATGCAGCCAGCCTGTTCGCGGGATTCGCACCTCGGACCGAACTACCAGTGTTCAGCGACGTTACCGCTCGGCCGCTGGTGGGCCTATATATAATACATATAATATAATTATGAAACATGTTTGATAATATAAAATATTTCTGCTGAGTTGCGGCTCAGATGCATTGTATAACGATCGACAATTCAAATACCTTTCATACTGAATCGCAAACAGACATTCTTTAGCAAATTGTATTCTTAAGCATTAAACATGAGAGAAAAACAAAGGAAACGTCAGAAGTTGTATGTACATTTAATCAGACTTTCTGAAAATAGCAATATGTTTATTCTTATAATTACACTCATCTTTCTAAATTGAACAATATGCTAACTGACATCATCTGACTTTTCATACAATATCGAAAAACGTAGCCTGTAAGAGCAAAATTAATATTATGAACAAAATGGAACAAAATCACAGATGTCCAGAAAACTAAGATCATTTAATAATTATGTATGTAATTTCAATAGTACTATATATTTATGTTAATAAGATATATTTTATAAATGGAAGGAACAAACATTTCGCTTAATATTTTTAGCACTGAAACCCTCTTAAAAACATCCAGTGACGTGAGCAATAGCATCCTCATCTGTTTTAAGTTCTTCGTTCAGGTTCCTTTTATATCCATTAAAAGCTATATTCATGCACTTAATTGATTTAACTTAGATTTTATATGAATCCCTAGTGATTTATATGGCGAATTACATACACTTTTCTTCTTCAAGTAAAAATATTTCCCTTCCCTTTCCATATATATTTTTGTGTTCAACCTTTCCATCCTGTATCGTATATAGCAAAAACAAAATAGATTCCATAATTTTTAAGTATATTCTATTGCGGTAAAAAAAGGATATACTTTAAATTAGTAGATAAAGTGTAATTCGAAAAATCATGATATTAAAAATTATGAATCTGAAAATAAGTATGTTCATACTATAGCAGCTATCTTAAACTATGCTGGTTAACTAATTTGCAACCCCATCCAGACAACTGGATAATTAACTTATATTCTTTCTATACGACAAATACATATATCTAAGAAGTCAAGAAAGGAATTTAGTCAATTTTTTTATAATCAGTTGACACATACAATAAAAAATACCAAACAATAAATATACCAAACGCGTTCTTTTCCTGAACAAAATGAATGCTTTTATTCTTGCTTATTGCTTAAAACAATATTTAAAACGAGTGCTTTTATTTGTCTTAAAAATACGATCCATTTATATTTGAGCTTAAATAAAGATATGAAATGAGTTGTTTATTTACGTAGCCCTTAATCTAAACACAACATATTCTATTATGTTTTTTTAATATAAATTAAACAAGTGATCTGGATAACTGGACTTCGGAACATTTAACTGAAGAGACAGCGAGAGATGGAACATGCCGAAGATGCCTATAATTCAAACAAGATTTCAATCTAGCGAAAGTAGAGAAAATATTTCGGTCTGACGATTCTTAATGTGATGAAAATTTTAAATCCTACCAGAAATTCTGTCTCTCTCCATAAACGTTTTCAGGCGTGATAATAAACTTAGCTCGGCTGTACGTAGTGCACCGTTACCATTAAAACAAGTAAAATTTAAGAAGTTTCAAATATTATTTTCTAAAGCATGAAAATTTTAATGTGGGCTTCAGATATAAGGAAACTCTACGTAACAAAGCCAGCATTTTACATGTATCTTTTAGATCAGATTTCTTAAAATGAAAAACGTTACTATTTGATATTCTGTCTGAAGTGCAATGTTACCATTTCTGCTTGAAAATTAAGTGCGAAATTCCTTATTCCTTTCTTTGCGCAGATGGCATCGAGAATTTGGGCAATCTTCCTCTATTGGACGTATTGAATAATCTTGGAGGGTGGCCGCTGTTGAGAGGAGATAACTGGAATGCTGCTTCGTTTGACTGGATTGATACCCTCGGTCAACTTCGTAGGATGGGTTATGATCACAATATCTTAATGGGAGTGTCTGTTACCAAAGTCCCCGCAGACAATTTCTATACCCCGGTCACCAACCACAGAAATTCGCATATCATAACAGTATGTATAATTAACATATCCAAAGTCTTTGGAGAGGAAAATAATTTCGTATTTTTTTAATCTAGTTTCTTACGTTTGTATGTCGTAGTTTTAGTATGTGTTTCTTTTGTCATATTCAAAGTTCCATCGATTTTTAAAGATAAATCGTGATAATCAAAATCGTAAAAAACAACCTTGTATTTAGCGTAGGTATAATGGAAACACTCAAGAAGAAATCACTTATTCCACCTATTACTAATTGCGCTAGACTTTATGCTCTTCCAAAAGTCCACAAAACCGGTATTCCTTTTCGACCAATTGTTTCCAACATAGGTACTGCTTCATATCCTTTGGCCAAATATTTAGTTTCCAGATTTTCTCCTCTACTTGCTAACAATATTCACACTGTAAAAAATTCTGTTGAAGTCATTGATAAACTTTAAAATATTTCTCCACTTCGTTCCATTATGGTTTCATTTGTGTCAAATCACTGTTTACTAATGTTCCGGTCGAAGGAGCACTAAATTGTCTTGAAACTAGGCTTCGGGAATTTCACTTCACACATACTGAAATTAATGAGTTGGTTTCGCTTACTAAAGTTTCTCTGAGTCAAATCCACTTTGTTTTCCAAAATGCATATTTTCGTCAAGTTGAAGGATTGGCTATGGGTAATTCTCTCAGTCCGGTACTTGCTGACATTTATATGCACTATTTTGAGATGAAATTATTTGATAAATTATCTTTTCGTCTTTAGATTCGGTATGTTGACGACACTTTAGCACTTTTTGACGGTTATAAAGAGGATTTATCTGAGATTCTATCTATTATGAATTCAATTGATCCAGCCATCCAATTCACTCTTGAAATTGAATCCAACAATTCCCTCCTCTTCCTCGATATTCTTATAATCCACAATGAAACCAATTTTAGCACCACTGTGTACCGTAAACCCTTTGCAGTTTGTTTACCACCCCATGCCAAGTCATGCCACCCTGTTAAGCAAAAAATGACTTCTTTTTACTATTATGTTTTCCGCGCGCTTAAAGTTTGTTCCTCTGAATCTTTGCTTACCAATGAACTTAATTATTTGAGAGCAGTTGCGATTGACCGTGGATTTTCTCCCGTGTTTATTGATAAAGCCGTTAAAAAATTTTCAGATTCCCATCAAAGAAGACATTCCACTGTTATAAATAATATTACTGACCTTGTCGTGCTTCCATTTTATCCTTCTGTTAGCTATACAATTGCACGGATTCTCCAGAAATTCAATTTTCAAGTCGGTTTCTCCCCTATTAATAAAATTCACCCTTCGATTCTAAAAGATTCCGTTTCTGTCTTGAATTCTTGGGGAATTTATAGTATATCGTGTCATGTGGGTTTAAGATATATTGGCCAAACAAAAAGAGCGTTGAAGTTTCGTATCAAGGAACATGAATCTTATGTCAGAAAAGGCGAAATTAACAAGTCTTCAATAGCGTATCATAGTTGGACTTTTAACCGTAATTTTGATTTTGGGTCTGCAAAAATCATCCAAAAGGCTTCTTCCACAGGTGAATTGGATTTTCTTGAGGCTTTTCACATTCACAAAGATTTAGCAAGTTTAGTTAATGATTTGAAGTCCTATCCAGTCCTTCCTAATGCCTTTAAAATTCTACTATCTTAATTCAGTTATTTTTGCCGATAGATGGCGTTACCTCCTCGCGTTTGGTACTACCAGAGGGAAAATCCTTTCAGTGGTTGCTTTCCATTATTTGAAGTTCAGATTTTGAGCGTAAGGTGCATTTGCCCCTCGCTCCCTATTTTAACTTCGCTAATATTTCTTTATGCTTGATCAGATAGCCTGGCTCAGTAAAAGTAGGCGGCCAGTGCAACTCTGATTAAAAATCTAGTTATAACCACGTGCAGCGCTGATAAGGACCACGTGTTTCTGTGACTCCTTCTCCTATTTTCTTCTTTGTATGTATTTCTTTCTCCTGATGAGGAAGGACCTTTAGCTGCCCTCGAAATCGATTGAGTGTTTCATTATACCTACGCTAAGTACAAGGTTCTTTTTTACGATTTTGATTGTCACATTAGCGTGTTTCTCTTCTAGTTCTAGTTTATAAATCGTGATATTTAGTTTTAAAATATACGCTCTGTTTATGCGAGGATTTTCATTCCAAAGAATGAAATTGCGGAATACAGTGTTTTTCTGTAATGTTGCTAAAGGTAACAATAGTTTTGATTCCGTTCTAAAAACGACCTTTGCGAAATTTGCGTCAATATCATTTAGCCCCAAAGAACTTCCTCTTATAAGTAAAATTATTGATTGATTTTCAGGAAAAATAGCTAGCACACAAAACACAAAGTGTGCATATAATAAAGATCTATTTTGCAATTATATATAAATCTTTCTTTCCATCTTCCTATTATCCTAAGGCGTTTGCGTTAATGCACAAATACTTAGTAGTTTAATTTATCAATTTCCTCACTATTCTACCAGATTTGTAATTAGCAAACTGAACTAAAGTTATTAAACGCTTTGCACTCTACTAATCTCTGTGATAGTTTATGACTTATATATGCGTACATAAAAGCTGACTATTGTTTCATGGTGCGCAAACTGTACAGTGCTTTTATTCAATTTATTATACGTATTTTAAGTAAAATAAATTATTGCTTTGATCATTTTTTCACAGCGCCTCTTCTGTATTACACAATTAATCCATAATCTGCTTACTAAGTATCATATTTTCCTATAAAAAGGTTATTTTAGAAACTGAGTGTTACATTTTATTATAAAAAGATGATTTTAGAAACTTTGCCATGATCTATCCACATTTTTCGAATCGTTCATTTCATCCTAGCTGCCATATAAGGCTAACTCATTTTCACAGATGGAATACATAGTGAGAGGGAAAAGTATTCATTCATTTGCATGTTTTCTTAAATTGAAAATTTCAATTCCTTGTGCACCACATAGTATTACACAAGGCTTACAGAGGAAAGTAAAAAAACAAACAAATACAACAAAACAACACAAAGTAAAATAAACTTACAAATTTACAGATGACATGCAAGGTATAAATTTACAAAAGAAAGAGAAAGCCATTTTATTTTGGACAAATATGTAAAGAGGGGGATGAAATGCAATATTCGCAGAGTTTAACCTAGAAATGAGTTCTTCTCGTCCTTCCGTGAGCTTTGAACAATAGAACAACAAATGTTCGACATTTGATGTTTTATTGTTCAAAGCTCAGTTTAACATCAGTTGTTATTTCTCACTATGCAGCTTAAGATGAGAAGTTCATATCTATATGTTTAATAAAAAAATTCAGTGTTGGCAAATGTATTTTGTAAGAGACACTTGGCTTCCAAAAGTGCTCAGAGGCTACTAAGTTGAGCTAAAAATTAAGGTTTCCGTACTATAATGTCTGTTCTTCTGATTAGAAATCTTTGAGTTAATGGCGTCACTGACTTATAGTCTGCTTGAAAGCAACTACTCATTTGATGAACTAAATGTAATTCTGTCTTCATTGATTCCACATCTTAAGTCAAGCGACGTCATTGAATTCAAACTTAGTGAAGAGCCTTGTTTTTCTACTGACCTTGCTCGCATCGAAGCGTATTTGTGGCTTAATCTGTAGGTTTCCATTTTTTTTTTTTTTTTACGATATATATATATATATATATATATATTTTTTTTTTTTTGAGAAATTGATGTAACGGAATTTTTTAACATAAAAAATTACCTTGATTTTTCGGAGCTGAAAAAATGCATACGTGAAAAAAATGTTGTGCTCATAAATGTTTGTAATTTATATCAGGGTCCTGATAGGAAACCTATTTTTCTTTCAACTAACACATACAGTATTTTTTCGGTTTCCTTTCAAGTTGGACCGTCCGTCATTTGGAACGGATCGTGAGATTCTATTGCAACCACTAAACCCAACTAAACAGCTTTACCTTGACTGGATGCAGAAAGCAGCTAATGAGATGGGTTCAAATCCATCGATTTCGAAAGTCGAGCTTCAGCGCTCAGCCGAATTCGAAGAAAACCTGGCAAAGGTAAGTTGAAATGCCATCCCCTTTCTTTTAATGCATTAATTTTTTGTGAGAATATTATCTTGTTCTACTCATTTGCTCAGTATATGTGATGTAATTATTTAATTTTGTGTACGTTAATCTGATGTTTCTCCATACAGTTAAAATTAATTATAATAAACAACTTGTGATTCCACTTTTTTCCAAATTAACAGAGAATCTAAAGCAGAAACGAAGCTTTAACTACATTAAATATGTATTTCATAATTAATTATAGTCAATGTAAAACATAATTAGAAACACTAAAGGAGTCTTTCACAACTGTTTAACAGCATTTCCTCTTTTAAATTCCCACTATCTTCTGCTCCTTTCAGATACTCAATATATAAGGCCTAACTTGCACAGATTTTTAAACATTTTAGACTAGGAAACTTTAATATCAGTTGCGAACTCGGATGAATTTACGCCACCGATCTTCTAAGCGCCAGCTGGACGTGCTAATTAATTACACCAGGATATCATCTCACAACGAATGGGATATCTCCTTACAAATGTAATTAGCTATTATAATACATCATTATAACATTATTGTACACTGTGCAAATAAAAACATGGGACAGTTCTATATCTTCCGTTCTAATGGGCCAATTGAGGAAATTCAAATTGCGTTTTTCATGTTTTGAAAGTGGGGCTTAGGATACATATTAGATTTATATATAGCATTGTTCTAACATAGGTAATATGACACAAAATCGGACTTTTTCTGAAATCACATGCCAATTGTTTTCCATATTTCCATTCTACCACTCAAATTATGCCAAACTCCCAAGTTTTGTAAAAATCGTAAGGGTAGATTTTAAAAAATTAGCTCTCAAAATTTTAATTCAATTTGGTATGTATTTATTAACCCTCTGGCTGATGATCCCGCAATTTTCACGGGCAACTTAAATGTAGCAAAATTTGCTCATCCCGCGATTTCCGCGGGCATATGTTTTTCTTCCTTTATTGAGGAGCGCATCCCATTTTCCCCCCGTTTAACCATTGAAATAAATTATATACAGTATTAGGTGTTTAGTTTACGTTTGGGCCAACAGATATCGTTAGTTGTACACTAAACTGCGGCATTTGAAGACACGTGGTATTAGCGCTCAAACTTCACTTTTTGCCGCTTTTTTCTTACAGAAGTGGCTGCTAGAAAACGTTCAGCGATTATCTTGATTATTTAATTAAATTGTTGATTAGTTTAATAATTAGATTGATTATTAATTAGATTTATTGAATCTGGTGCAAAGACTGTGAAGTTTGAACTCTACTAAACTGCATTTTTAAGGTATTTTTCTCTCAGCGATTTACATTTTCTTAAATTTTATACATTTCACTTTTTTACATTATGCAATAAATAGAAATTAACTGTAATTTGACTGAAATTTATTTAAAAAAAGATTTCTTTTGTGATAACATCTGAATTTTCTTTTGGCAACTTAGTTTCTCATGATAAAAATCTATATAAAAAATATTTTCCAGAAAGAAAAAGGTCATTTTTCAATTCTCCTATATATATAGCTTTAAAATATGAAAAAATATTGTAAATAAATAAATAAATAAATAAATATGCAATTTTGGAAGCGATTTCGGTGCACAAATTGAGCAGTCAAAGGATTAATCTCTCTTTCTTATGAAACTTTTTTGATTCTTCCTACACAGTTCGAAATTTAGGTTCATTCCAAATAAAATTCCCCATTTTTTATTTTTAAAATTTGTATCTTTAAATAATTTTTATAAATTCTTCGAAAAATCTTTTAATTAAAACCTATAAAATTTTTACAATCATCTTAAAGTAGACGTATTTCTAAGCATAGCTGCAAAAAATTAGAGCTTTTTATTCCAAATTTTCGAAGATTATACACGAATTTATATATTGGCACGTTTTGAAATTTGAAATATTTGTTGTAAGTGATAAAACGAAAATGTGGTTTACGCACTTTGTTAAAATTATTTGAAAGTAAGAACGATGGGACCTTTTTTTTCGCTCATCCACAATTTAAAAAGGTAGGAAGTAAGTGACTTTATTTCCGTTCCTGCACAACGGAAGAAAAACTCCTAGTGCTATTTTTACAAAACTTCGTAGTTTGGCGTAATTTGAGTCGTAGAATTGAAATATGGAAAAAATCGATATGTTATTTCAGAAAAAGTCCCATTTTGTGTTAAAATACCAATATTAGAACAAAGATATATACAAATCAAATATATAACCTCAGTCACGCTTTCGAGACATAGAAAACGCAATTTGAAATCTTCTCAGTAGGAAGGGAAGTATAGAACTGTCTTTTTTTTGCAGTGTACATGAACAAATTTTTTTTTTTGCACTTTGTAGAACTAGTATCTTCAAGATAACGTACAAGCGATAAAAGTTAATTGGAAGTTTTTTTAAAAGCTATGTTTTGTAACATGAATAAAATTTAACAAAACCTAGACAGCACAACTTGTGATATCTTACGAATTTAAGTATTTAAATACGTACAATGAAGAAGAAAATTTTAACGTTTCACTAACTCTGATTCAGCTACTGCTGCTTTTAGCCCTGCGCATGAACAAGTACAAAACCACTCACCAATATGCAAATCAGTATGCAAGGTGAATGTCTCAGCGATAAATAGTTTTCTAGCACTCTGCTACAGCTCTTTTAGTTTCCAGTTACAAATCAGAATAGTTAAATTCGGTCAAATTTGCATTTTGATGTCAGTCGACGAAACACATATTATATACAGTAAAAAGTTAACAAAAAAGTGCAGTGTTTACTAAAATAAAACTTGCAGATAAACCTGCATAACTCGAACGTATAATATCTGCCCCTATATTTTTCTGAACACAAAATTCAAGAAGCCTCTTACTGGAGGAATAAATCGTTTCATGTCGATAGTCATTACTTCTTCTTGCAGTTCCTGAAATTGATGAGTTGATATGAGAACAGATGTGGCTGAGTCTTCAAGATGATATTGATAACTTCATCCGTAATGCGATTTACTGTGTTAAGAAATCGATGTAGTTAATGTTAAATTCATATTTTGTTAAATTTTTTAAAACGCCAGAGGTACTATTAGTCTCGAAACGAGCGTTTATCGCACATAAACTTTCAAATTGTTGCTACAGGGTGTTATCGCAACTTATTATTAAAATGATATGAAGAGAGAGAGAGAGAGAGGAATCTGTATAAATGTCTGTTCGTTGCGTTATGGAAAAACGATACACCCAAAGCCACCGAAATTTTAATACGCAATTAGAGGAGAGCACGTCTATTGCATTATTAAATGCTTTATTTTACTAATAAGAAATAGATAAAAGTAATAAAAGGTAAGTTAAGTAAAAATTAATATTGCAGGTGATGTCATGATAGTTATACTCAGTCCACACAGGATTCGTGTAATGATGAACATTTCTCACACACTATCAGCACGTAGACCCATGCCTTCAAAGAATACGTTTATTCTCGTAACATCCACAGCTAGCTTTAGATAATATGATCAGGTTGGCTACAAGGAACTTAAACATCACAGGAAACCATCTGTTTCCACCAACTCTTGGAGGATTTACTAGCCGTCTGCTTGCCTCCGCTCCTCTCCACGTCTGGAAGCTATCTCGCGTTGTCTACTGCGCACTGTGCTGCTGATGGTTATCGGGTATTCTTCCATCGGTCGTATGATCTCCACAGGTTCGGCCCTGCAGGTCCTTGATGTCTGTTTAGTGGACATCACCATCATCATGTACCTGCAAAGAGAATAAAAAAAAAGAGAGTATCAGGTCCTTAGGTTTTGAGCTGATACAAACATTAAATCAATTTGACCATGGCTTCATATGGTCAGCCGCAGTAGATGTCAAATTTGGTCCTTCATGGCATCCTACTTTCTCGACTTCATATCTGTCATTTGATCGAAGCTATGATTTTATACGGTCCATGAAACTTAGGTCGTAGTTTCAAACCAGTCCCATATTGAGTTCTCTGAATGGCTACCAAGTCGCCAATCTTGTATAGTTTCGGTTTCTTACGTTTCTTGTTGAATTGTTTTCGATTCTCTTCTTGTATCTTCAAAATGTTGTTTTTCGCATCTTCTCTCATTTCATCACGTTCTTGCATCAATTGTTTTAGATATTCTTCATTCAATATCTCACTAATTCTCAAATCTTCTTTATTCTTCATTTTCGTGCCTATGAGAAGCTCAAACGGTGAATATTTCGTACTTCTCGTAGTTGTACTGTTGATTATTCTCTGAACATCTGGAACATACTTAAACCATTTCGTTGAATCTTCATGTGATAATTTTGACAAAACAGGAATCAAAATTCTATGAATTCGCTCAATTTGTCCGTTACCTCTTGGAATACCGGTAGTAATTTTGACATGTTCTATTCCTTCTTCAGTACAATAAGCTGAAAATTCTTTCGATGTAAAGGCACTACCTCGATCTGAAATGATTCTGGCTGGATTTCCAAATACAGTCTGTTGTTGCTTCAATTTTGAAATAACTTCTTGCGTAGTTGGTGATTTCACTGGATAGAACCAAGTAAATTTCGTAAAAAGCGTCGACAACAGTTAGAATGTGTTGGTATCTCTTGTTCGTCGATGGAAGAGGTCCAATAAAGTCGATATGATACGTACTCAAGGGAACGTTTTCTTTCGGTACAGGATGAAGAAATCCTTCTGCTTTTCCTTGCTTCTTGTTGTACAGTATACATTCTATACAGTTAGCAATTACTTTTTCAACTTTGCATTTCAGTCTGGGAATATAGAATTCTTGCTCTACAGCATTCACAGTTTTATCTACAGCAAAGTGACCCTTTTTATGTACCTTCTGTATGATTTCGTTCTGTAAGGATTCTGGCACTACTAGCAGATCTTTACCATTTTCAAATTTATACAAAATATCATTTCTCACGAAGAATCCATTTTCTTCTCCCTTCTCAACTAAATTCTTGATCAATTTCACATGTTCACCTTCATTCTGTTGTTGTGCTAACCGAATCTTCTC